CTCTGTCATTGTGAATTTCAGCGGAGTTTTTTCGGGCAGATTCCTTCTCCCGTGCCGTCACAGATGATGGGAATGCTTTTCCATCAGCGTCGGCGCTCCGCAGATTCGTCAACGGGCAGTTGTGTTCTGCAACGACGCTCCGAAGCTTCCCGGCACCATCGGAGTGGTCGGTAGGTGGAACGCGGCTTGCAGCGGGAGCAGCGCGATACGGTCTCACGGGAAACGACGCGAGCCGCGCGGGGTGCAGCCCGGAACCGGCACTGATATATTCACATTGGTTAGATTGTCGTCTAGGATCATATCAGACGCTTCGCGGTCCGCGTAGCCAGCGGCACGACGTGCCCAATTGAGAAACGACATCGTGGCGCGAGACTGAGCGGACCGAAAGCTTAAGGGAAACAAATGCTTGTGGCAGGATCTTGGTCAGTAGTGCCGCCAATGCAAGCACTAGTGCTAGTGCTGGTAGTACGAGTAGTAGCTAGCACGGTGTTTGTTAGTGATGCTTGACAGGTGGCTCAAGAGAGAGGAAGTCGTTAACAATCAGATTCTAAAACGTCCCGTCCCTTGTACTAAAGTGGTCGAAGGGGGACAATTTGAAGTGGTATGCGCGTTGGGAAAGGAGTGAGTCGAGCGGAGAGTGTCCTGATCGCAAACGATTAAAACTCGTACCGCCAATCGCACGGCACATCAGGTCGTCGCCACAAATGAGCCTGTGTAATTCGTCCTTCCGATTACACTACCGTGTGAGGTGTGTGGACGAAATACACTATCGCTGAGAGGGATTTTCTGTGTCGGCGACATCGGCCAATCGCCTGCTTCGCTGGGTGTGCGTGGTGTGCAGCCGAAGAGGACATGCGCAGCCGCCTTTTTTCTGCAAGAACAGCAGTTACCGGTGTTGTTCGTGGTGCTGCTACGAGGGGCAGTCTGCGGAAGGGGACGACGATGGCTTGAGTCAACATTGGGTTTCTGAGATGTCTCTTGTTCTAGAGTGGTCACGAGTGAGTGGTCTGCACGTTCGGAAATGAAAGGATGAGTCGAGCGGACAGAGCATTCTGATCGCACGCGATGAAAACTCGTGCCGCCAATCGCACAGATCGTCGCCACAAAAGAGCCTAATCTGTCCTTCCGATTCCAGCATGCGGGGCGTGGACGAAATCCACTATCGCTGAGGGGGATTTTCTGAGCTGGCAACATCGGCCAATCGCTTGCTTCGCGTGGAGCCGACGATGACCTGCGCAGCCGTCTTACGCACTATTATCTGCAAGAACCGACCTAGCTGTTGCAGCTTGCTTCACTATTCCACAAAATAATCGAACCTGCATCGTCTTGTGCTTGGTTGGCCTTCCCCTGCTCTTGCTCGCTCCGCTGCAAGAGCTACTACTGTACAACGTTCCAAAAGGCTTGACTCACAGTGGTGCTTGAAAGAATTCCGCTAAAGGCACACAAATAAAACAAGGATGATTTATTTTGATAGCCGGGTACCTGGCATGTACTTTCCCGTGGTAAGTAGCACACAATGCCCGATCGCTACGATGCCAACAAGGGTCGAATGCCAACACACCACATCTCTCTGATGAACCTCCTGTCTGGGTGTGTTAAAACCCGGGGTCCAAGAGTTTCTAAGTTAGGAAGGTTGCTAGGGGCAAGAAACGCGACTGGCTCGCGAACCAGGGTGTTGCCGAAATCGGTGGTTGTGGGTCGCAAAGTATGAAAACCTCGCGAGTGTAACCAGATCTGGAATGCAACGTCAAAATTCGTTCGCAAATAGTTTCGGATGGGCGCGAAATCTGTTTACGAAATCGTCACTGCTATCGTCTAGCAATTTTGAGTGACGAGAAAATTCACGAAGGTTTTCGAAGTTAGGAAGTTTGAGTCAGTATCTACTGTGTCACACCCAACCGAAGTTAGGAAGTTTGAGGCAGTTTTGGCCTGTTTGGGACTCCGGTTTTAATAGTTTCGTCCATCGATCCTCGCGGCTGATGCAGCTGATCTCACGGAAACTTTCAGAAGGGGTAGTACCCCCAACAATACTGCCACAGTAGATGCCTCCACTCCAATGACGAAACTCGGCTGCCTTTCGTCAATGCTCGTGATTTTCGTGAAAGGGACTTCGACCAAACGACGGCAGCGCGCAAAGTTCCAGTTTGTTGATTGGCTGGCTAGTTTATCCATTTCGGGTTACACGGCACCATTTTCTTGATCAGGAATGCCTTGTCCCATCATGTTGTCTGTCACTCGCACCGCGCCCAAATTTGTGAAAGGTTCAAATTATGGTTGGTTTGTGGCTATACTAACGTAGGCTTAGGCTATCAAAGTTCAACGACACTGCTAAGTTTCGACCACCGACTTTCACGCGAGTCACGACTATAACTCACGCCTTTGCTAGTATATCAGCCGACTTTCATGCTCATGACAACCACTATCAACGTTACACTGCTCAGAATGTCTCGCCTGTATTCAGCAATCCTCCTCGCGCTCCTCTTCGCCCGAGCAGCACAGCCGATTCACGTCGCACAGCCTACTAGTACAACTACTAATTCCGGCAGCGACGCGACAAACGCTGGCTACGAAACGTCCAACGCTCCCGCCAAGCTTGACACCTCGACATCGCCTGTGCTGCAGCCCACAGACTACCCGCTCTGTCCGTTCAATCAACGCCCGCCGGTGCGAACGAACGTGACATTTTCGCGGTGCAGGGACACGGCGGAATGGTCGTGCTGCGACGACTGCATGGACATGCTCGCGGCGCTCAAAGCCGTTAGCGCCGATGAATCGACGGTGCTCAAAGTTCTCCTTCCGTCAGTTCTGAAAACCTTGGGGGGATCAGCTGTTCGAGTGAGTTGCGCTGCGCTCTGTTTTTTTTTTTTTTTTTTTTTTTTTTTTTTTGCGAAGGACGGGTCGGGCCTAATTCGTTTTCAGTCCATGCAAGACTGGTGGGTAGCGGTTCAAAGCGGTTTATCAGACAAACCGTTCTAAAGTGCACAGCATCTTTCTCAACCGCTTATGCTGAAATAGAACTGAACGAGATGAAGAAGGCGGATTGAACAATCAACTGAACAAATCTGATGGGCAATTCAGTCTAAGAGTGAGACTCATGGTTTAACGCGTTACCCTCCATCTTCCCTTCTCCCTTCTTTCCGTCTCTCCGTTCCCCCCTCTCCCTTTCCCCTCCTCCTTACGCCCACCCTCTACTCCACGCAGCAATGCGCGCGGTTTGTGGGCTTCGATCAGTGCAGCCAGGAACTCGAGGCGATGAATTGCGCCGTGATGTGCAACCCAGGTGCGTTTCCGATCTCACTTTCACCCCACATGACATACTGATGCATAACATGTGCTTTCTAATATACGCATATGTTACCAGATAAATTGAACCAGTAACCGCTGGTATCTACACTGCCTTTGTCCATGCAGATAGCGGAAACTATGTTGTTGCGGATTCGGAATGGTCCGGGACCTTCTCTGTGTGCGATGGCTACGCATCTTACGTTTACTCTGAATGCAAAGACCTACCAAGTAAGTCGAAAGTACATGTGAACTGGCATCACATTGCTCATGACATTGCTCATATACCCCCGTTAGTTACCATTTGTTGTTTCTCTTTCGGATTTTTGTTTGTCTTTTGGTCAAACTGCTTCAAACTTTCACTCACTTCGCTCGCTTTATGGTCCCCGATTCTCGTTCTCCTTTTCCCTCTCTCCATTACGACAGCAGCCTCCCTCCTTTATACCACCACCTTCTACACTCTAAGCCATTTTTATCAGCATTGCCGCACAATGTTTTCCTCCCCGTCCTTTTTGTTCGGCATGTGACCCAACAGTGGCCCACAGGAACAACATTCGGCAATCTGCTCTCCAGCAAGGACGTGTTCTTCAGAGTGTTCTTCGGGTCACTTTTCAGAGCGCTAGGCGGGCGAAACACTACTGTGAACATGGCTTCAGTAAGTATGAGATCTAACAGTAAATAAGGGCCTCCAGGTAACTACGACCTCACTACAGCTGTGCCATGTCGAATGCAGAAGGCGTTTCCCCAGGCCACGCCAAATGCACAAGGCCCCGACGGACCTGGGGGTTTACAATTGACACCATCGAAACCGCACCGCCTACCTGTTCTGTTTCAGTTTCTTCCTCCCCCTTTCTTGGACCGACTGGGAGTTAAAATCTGGCACAGGCGGTCTAAGGATGCATCCGACTGAAAACAGGTCTGATTTTGACTGGTCTGTTTCTGTTCTGCTTCTGTTCTGTCTTTATTTGTTTTCTTTCTGCCTCCTTCAGGGCACAACCGGGTGTTACAACGGGGCCAAGCAGTACCCACCAGTCCCTGCCTGCTGCGATCCGCTCAACGACATCCAAGGGTGCCCCTTCAAGGACAATGCGACTTACGGCGCGTTCGTCGGTCGCAAGGTTTCTCCCACAGAGTGCAAATCATACGCGCAGGTTCCATCGGGCCAATCTGACCAGTCAGGCTTGGTGTTGCCTTCGTCAGCAGCACCGCCGCCTGCTAGAGCTGGTGGAAGGATAAAACAGGGCGTGGTGCAAATGGATTTGACAAACCTTGTTTTCTGTGCTGTGGCTCTGCTGCTGCTACTCTTGTTTTAGAGCTAGCTGCTACTTTTTGTTTTAGGACTAGTCTGTCTTTATGTTGTAGGGCTAGTTGTCCCATACCTAGCTTGTTACAGGGCTAGCAAGTTTCGTATGTTCCAGAGCTAGCCCCCTTTCTATTGTGGCACACAAAGAGCAACGCTTTTAGGTCAAAGGCAGATCCTTTCTCCCATTGAAACGATGGTCATGCACCAACGTTCCGATTTGGCAGTGGAAGTGACAACAGCAGTACCAGTACCAGCATTGCCTGACAGGATGCGCCTCGTCTCAGCTTTAAAGCTTTCACTGAAGCTTCACTTCACTGCGAACCGCATGCTTGAATGCACTGCCCGGTATGCTTGGAAGGAAGCAGCACGCCCCACCAGTCTCTACAACTCCAGCCAGCTCACACCTCCTGCCAGCTCAGCTCACAGCAGCACTGCTCCAGCTCACAGCAGCTGGCGCACCCCAAACACCCCGGCAGTCACGAGCAGACCCAGCAGGCCGAACGTACCCCACATGCCTTGCACTCGGTTGCGCGGGTTGCCGGTGTAGTAGCTGAGGCAGGGGGGTGGCGGGGAGGGAAGCACAGGGAGTGGAGGAATGAGGTGAGAGCACGTGCGTGAGAGCGAGCGGGAGAGTGTGTGGGAGCACATTCAATAGCAGCAGGCCGAATGTGCCCCACATGCCTTGTACGCGGTTGCGCGGGTTGCCGGTGTAGTAGCTGAGGCAGGGGGGTGGCGGGGAGGGAAGCACAGGGAGTGGAGGAATGAGGTGAGAGCACGTGCGTGAGAGCGAGCGGGAGAGTGTGTGGGAGCACATTCAGTAGCAGCAGGCCGAATGTGCCCCACATGCCTTGTACGCGGTTGCGCGGGTTGCCGGTGTAGTAGCTGAGGCAGGGGGGTGGCGGGGAGGGAAGCACAGGGAGTGGAGGAATGAGGTGAGAGCACGTGCGTGAGAGCGAGCGGGAGAGTGTGTGGGAGCACATTCAGTAGCAGCAGGCCGAATGTGCCCCACATGCCTTGTACGCGGTTGCGCGGGTTGCCGGTGTAGTAGCTGAGGCAGGGGGGTGGCGGGGAGGGAAGCACAGGGAGTGGAGGAATGAGGTGAGAGCACGTGCGTGAGAGCGAGCGGGAGAGTGTGTGGGAGCACATTCAGTAGCAGCAGGCCGAATGTGCCCCACATGCCTTGTACGCGGTTGCGCGGGTTGCCGGTGTAGTAGCTGAGGCAGGGGGGTGGCGGGGAGGGAAGCACAGGGAGTGGAGGAATGAGGTGAGAGCACGTGCGTGAGAGCGAGCGGGAGAGTGTGTGGGAGCACATTCAGTAGCAGCAGGCCGAATGTGCCCCACATGCCTTGTACGCGGTTGCGCGGGTTGCCGGTGTAGTAGCTGAGGCAGGGGGGTGGCGGGGAGGGAAGCACAGGGAGTGGAGGAATGAGGTGAGAGCACGTGCGTGAGAGCGAGCGGGAGAGTGTGTGGGAGCACATTCAGTAGCAGCAGGCCGAATGTGCCCCACATGCCTTGTACGCGGTTGCGCGGGTTGCCGGTGTAGTAGCTGAGGCAGGGGGGTGGCGGGGAGGGAAGCACAGGGAGTGGAGGAATGAGGTGAGAGCACGTGCGTGAGAGCGAGCGGGAGAGTGTGTGGGAGCACATTCAGTAGCAGCAGGCCGAATGTGCCCCACATGCCTTGTACGCGGTTGCGCGGGTTGCCGGTGTAGTAGCTGAGGCAGGGGGGTGGCGGGGAGGGAAGCACAGGGAGTGGAGGAATGAGGTGAGAGCACGTGCGTGAGAGCGAGCGGGAGAGTGTGTGGGAGCACATTCAGTAGCAGCAGGCCGAATGTGCCCCACATGCCCTGCACGCGGTTGCGCAGCTTGCCTGTGTAGTAGCTGAGGCAGGGGGAGAGGGGGGAGGGAGGCAGGGGGAGTGTGGAAGGGAGGGGAGTGAGTGTGAAAAAATGCGATAGCAGCAGGTTGACTGTGAAAGGGAGGGGAGTGACTGTGAAACACATGCCCTGACTGTGGGGTAGCTGGGGCAGGGGGTGCGGAAGGAAGCACGGGTAGTGGTGGAAAGGAGGGAGCGAGAGCACGTGGGTGAGAGGGAGTGTGTGTGTGTGAGCACATGCCATTGGAAGCAGGCCTAACGTGCCCCACATGCCATTGGAAGCAGGCCTAACGTGCCCCACATGCCCTGCACTCTGTTGCGGGAATTGCCTGTGTAGCAGCTGGAGAGCAGTGGGGTGGGAAGCACGGGGAGTGAGAAAGTGGGGGAAGTGGTGGAATGGAGGCAGCGAGAGCACATGTCTGGCACAGAGAACATGTATGCAGGTGAGTGTGTGAGAGAGAGTGTGGGTGTGTGAGGGAGAGTGTGGGTGTGTGAGAGAGAGTGTGAGAGTGTGTGAGAGTGTGTGTGAGAGATATTGTGGCATAAACATTTTCGAGTTGGAGAGAGGAAGGAGAGCAGTGAAACAAGGCATGCGGGTGGGAAGATGGGGGTTTGGGGAGGGTGGGGGGATTGGGAAGGGTGGGGGAGTGGGAGATGTGCACGCAAGGCACAGAGAGTGGTATATGTGGATATAAAGACGGGGAGGAGGGAGAGAATGTGTGGCAGAAAGCAGTTCGGACGTGGAGAGAGGAATGGGAGCGGTGAAAAGAATAACGGATGGAGGGCAGGCAAATAAATTCTGGTAGTTGGCAGGTAGGTACGTGGTAAGGAGAGTGCTTGTGAGAGTGGGTTCGGGAGAGTGGAAGAAGGGAGAGTGGAAGAAGGGAGAGTGGAAGAAGGGAGAGTGTGTGATAGAGTGAAGGGAAGAGAGCTAACCCGAGGGAGTAGAAGACGCGGCCAATGACCCACACCATTCCGCACCTGCAAGCAGGATAAACGGATGGATGGAAGAGAGTGTTGGAAGAGTGCCGCACCGCACCATGCAACACCATGCCACACCACACCACACCAGGCCATGCCCCACCATGCCATGCCACACCGCGCCCCATCGCAAGAAGGGGACATGAGAGGTGAAGGGCGGAATTATATGGGGATAAAAAAGAAGGGGAGAAGAGAGGATGGGAAGAGGGGAGAATGGCAACAGGGGAGGATTGGAATAGGGGAGCATGAGCAGAGGGACGGAGGAAGGGGTAGGGGCTGAATTTGTGAGCAAGCAGCAAGCAAGGGGTGAGGAGGTGGGACAGACAGATGTGGAAGCAGAGGTGGGAGGAGGAGCGAGAGGAAGAGGTGGGTGGTAATCAACGTGACGAGGAAAGATGCATGATGACTGAGAAGGGACGCAAATGCAGCGGTGGTGGTGGAATAGTGACCAGTGATGAGGAAGGGAGAGAAAATCACAGAAAGTGAGGGAGGCTAGCTTTCAAAGGGACGGGGCAGAATACGAGACGGGATGAGATGAGCACGCATTGAAATGGCTCGAACGTATTCTCAGAAAGAAACACACACGGAGCAAAGGCTGTGATGGGATGGGCATAGCTGGTAATGGGAGAAAACCATGCAGAGGGCAAACAGGGATGAGACGAGAAGGGCAGTGATGGCGTAGGCAGAGGCGGTGATGGGGTAGGCATTGCCAGCAATGAGGAGCAGCGAGAGGAAGGGAGAGCAGGCAGGGGAGTTTCTAAGAGCGTGGTAAGGGAGTGAGCATGGATGGACATACGCGGAGGCAGTGATGGTGTAGGCATAGCAAGCAATGAGGAGCAGCGAGAGGAACGCGGGGTGACAAACAAGTGAGGGGTAGATAGTGAGTATGAAAGGCAACATACGCGGAGGCAGCGATTGGGTAGGCATAGTCGGCAATGAGGAGAAGCGAGAGGAAGGCGGGGTGGCGTGGCATTTGAACGACGCCGCATTTGAGCGACGGGGCAAGATAAAGGGTGTGATGAGAAGGGGAACGTACGCAGAGGCAGTGATGGGGTAGGCGTAGCCAGCAATGAGGAGCAGCGAGAGGAAGGCGGGGTAGCTCTCAAGGGTGTTCTGGTGGGCGCGCTGGTAGCAGTTGAACAGGCTGTCCTCCTTGTCCTCGTACATCTGCACACCCAGGGGTGCAGAGCGGTGAGGAGGGAAGGTGGGGTAGCTCTCAAGGGTGTTCTGCACAGCCAGCGGTGCAGAGCGGTGAACGGACGTGCGAATGGGGTAAGAAAAGTGAGCATGCAAGAGCAGTGGGAGCAGGTGAAGCTGCCACCCTTAGCATCGTGCGTCCAGAACAAGGCAGAACCACAATGTAACCACATTGAAATCACCTTGTAACCATCCTGTTGCCGCCTTGTAACCGCACTGTAACCACCGTGCAACTGCATTGTAACCGCCTGGTGAATACGACCTTCACATCTTAGAACGCAACTCCTGAAGGCTGTGAGCCCTCCTGTGCCCACCCTGTTGCACTGGATGGTATTCTAACCACCTGGTAACCACCTGGTAACCACCTGGTAACCACCTGGTAACCATCTGGTAACCACGTCACAGCACCAAACCACCCGTGTGCCCTCCCGTGCGCACCTTGGGGTACGGGACGTTGCTGGCCCTCCGTTGCTTTGCTACCTGCCACGTCAGCACGAACAGGACAAGCAGAGGTGAACGGCACGAGTGGTCAACAGAGTCAACAGAGTCACGAGTGGTCAACGGAGTAAAAAAAACAGTTAGCCTGCTGTTGGTGGAACCAACCGAGCAAGTGCACATGGGATCTAGTGTGGTGTAGTGTCGTGTAGGGTAGTGTAGGGTAGGGTAGGGTAGGGTAGGGTAGGGTAGGGTAGGGTAGGGTAGGGTAGGGTAGGGTAGGGTAGGGTAGGGTAGGGTAGGGTAGGGTAGGGTAGTGTAGGGTAGGGTAGTGTCGTGTAGGGTAGCGTAATGTAGGCGTGCGTTTTCAGATGTCCGCTTGCGCACTTTGAGCAAATCGGTTTCGTGAGAGCGCTATTTTCATGACGTCCGTTCTCACATGCATAAACATGACCAGCCCGCATATTCAATACTAGGCAGTCCGATATAAGCACGCTACCTCGCTCATCTACCACTGCGTCAGCACGGCGGCAGCGGCAGCAATCAACACCACCAATCGACATACCCACTATAACTCAGCCTGATATAATCAACGTACCTCGATCATCTGCCATTGCGTCAGCACAGCGCTAGCAGCAGCGGTCAGAACCACCAGCCCGAACTCGCGCGGGAGCGACTCGATCACCACCGCGCGCGCAACTCCCGGCCGCGCGGAGGCGGCGGAAGCGGGATTCCGTGACCACGCGGAGGTTGCGCTCCGCAGCTGCAGCGGGCAGGCGGACGCGAGGCCGTGGCGGGGTAGGCGCGCGGAGGCGGCGGAACGGGCTCCCCGCGGTGCGCTCGCGCGGGGAAGAACGGGGGTGACGCAAGACGCGGCGATGGAGGCCATGGCGGAGCGCTGTTGTCGGTGTCTATTGATCAGTGCCGAGTCGAGGAATATGGCAGATCATTGACAGATAGTTTCAATTTGACTGCTACCTACAGACGCATATTTCGTATTTCGAGATCATCAGCTACATAGTACTGCACCACACTCAACTCCCCCATGTCTTATTTACTTGCTGCAGTAATGGAAAGTTTCTGGTGTGGGAAGTTTACAAAGTTTTCTGGTATGTGGAATATGGTGGTAGCTAGTTTCGGAATGTGACGACGACTAGGTTTGAATTGTGATGACAACCAGGTTGGGACCACACAAGCCAAATAATCAGGCTAATGTGCGTTCCAGATTATATGATTAAGACGTGTGTAAAAAAAAATCATAACAAACTGGGGGTGGGTGCAAGATTTCTACGGTAAGATTCAATATTAATATTACCCGTTTCTTCGGGTACTAAGCTCAATACTGTCATTTTTATTGGAGGTACATTTTACTGGTACACTGGTTTGCAATCGTCTACATTACACTCACACACTCTAATGGGAATCCAGACCTATGGGAGTGCCTCGGTGGAGGTGACGGACCCCAAGAGGCCATGTGGATCACCACCTGTGATCCATGTGGACATCGAAGCCGCGTCCGAACCATCCATCTGCTCGTTCGGATGAAACCCTAACTGAGCTACACCGCAGACGATAATCGGTAATTTCGCCGTCAAGTTCTTGACGGACGTCAGGTTCTCTGTCTGTTTTGCTGGATTCAGGAAGCAGCAGGCGGAGTTGGTTTGAATTCTTGAAAACCTAAAATCGATGCCCGTCATTGCCTCTGCCTGATTTCTGTTTCAAAGCAATGGCACAGACCACGAAACCCTAGATGGACTTTTAGGTTAGGTTCCCTCTATCTTTTCCTCGAATAGCGTGACTGTCGTCGCTTCTTTCATTTCCTTTTTTATGTAGGTCCTTTGTTACGATTTTTGTTTATGGTATCGTCAGGCGTAGGCTATTCTCGGTCGTCTAGGATTCCATGGAGGCGTCAGGGAGTTGAAGGGAGGCCTCGGGTCTCGTGTGTGCGAGATGGAGTTGCATCGCGGGGAGGGGTCCGCAGAAATCTCGTCAGGTCGCTTCCAGGCGCCTCCCCTCGGCGTGCCTTGCTCGCGGCCCGTGTCGGTATCGGACGTTCTGGCAGACGGCGGCCGGCTGTTTTTGCATTCGTCCAGAGGCGTCATGGGAGCCTCGATATTACCGCAGAAGCGGCTGCTTGCCGGCCCGAAACAGAACGGATGGTTTTCCGTTTCTGACGCGTCCGGAGGGACTCTGGCCTTCTCAGGAGCGTCCGGTCGGAGCGACTCGGCTTTTTCCAGTCGAAGCCGCAACGGTAGCGTTAACGGGACGGCTAACGGAACGCATAACGGAGTGCATTCGGGGGATCTCGCAGCAGCGGGGACGGCGTTAGGGTTACAGTCTGTGGTTCTGTCGTGTAGCCGCAGTGCCGCCGAACGAGCGAATCGCTTGGCATTTCAGACGAGTGCGTCCGATAGAGGGCCTGATTCGTTCAAAGAGCCCGACTCGGTAAAAGGACCCGACTCGTTTCGCTGTAGCGTTCGTCCTCTGGCCTCCAGTGCTACTGCTGAAGAGTCCTCCGACCTCCCAAGCATCTTTCAAGAGTCGGTGGCGAAGGACGTAACGCCGAGTCTGGCGTTCTCTAGCCGTTTGCTCTCGCCTTCTCGCAACCGGCAGCGGTCGCAGAGGAAGCATGGCGAGGCGCTAGCGCAAGCAGGAGGTAGAGACGTGTGCATCGGAGACGCGCTGAAGAGCGACGACGGACGGAAGGACACGCGCAGTCGCAGCCCGCATGGTCATGGCAGGGTGTCGCACAAGGAGTCGGATAGAGTTTCGCCGGAGTCGTACAAGTATTCGCACGGGCAGTCGCACAGGGAGTCTCATGTCGCGCATCAGGAGCGAGAATCGCAGGGCGCCGGGTTAGTAAAGAGTACAAAGCCGCATTCTGACGTTAACCGCTGTGATTCAGAGCAGCGAAAGGCGACAGACGGGGATAGCTCGTTTCCGCGAGGGCAGCGATTCCAGCAGCAGCAATGTGACGGGCGATTACCCGCAGAGGACGCAGGGACAGGGGACTCGGGTATGGGGACTGGTGAAGGTGCCAAGGGCGAACGTGGGAGTTGTCTGTCGTTATCCGTTGCAGATCTGAAGGCCAAAACGACCCAAGGGAAGACTCGAGGTTATCAGGCCGCTGGAGCCTATGCTGAGCAGCAGTCGGTGAGACGCGAAGACTGACCTTTCTGTTTTTAGTTTTTTCTTTCTTTCTTTCTTTCTTTCTTTTATTTTTTTCGCTGGATGTCGTCACGCACGGTCATATTTTGTATACGTATTTTTTTGTATCTCTCCTTTTTTTCTGCGCGTTTGTGCGACTAACATTACGTGCTCCTGTGCGTTTGTGCAGATTCGTAACGCAGAGGCAGCGGCAGAGCGGATATCCTTTCACAGCAGCTTATTACCTGACCCCACGGCAGCAGAAAACTCCCCAGCGGCAGCAGCGGTTCACGAGCTGGTCTTCAAAGCGAAATCAATCACGCCATCACACCAATTACTCGCCGATAACGACATTCCCAGGCGAATAGGGTTACCACTGGTCAGCCACGCGCTGATGGACTGCGGGAATTTTCTCTACCCTCCGTTGAAGAAGGCTCGAGCTACCAGAGAACCCAAGTTTCGCAAGCCCAACGGGAGCCGAGTACTAGGCCTGGCCGAACCTCCGTGCTGCACAGGCTCGGAACCGAACCTGTCGTTGAGCCTGTCCTTGCAAGACCGCAAAACCGAGCGTGAATCGCCACCCGCCCCGCTGTCTGTAACCACGCCTCGCGCTGATAAGCACAACGGATTATCAGGGGAGAGCCAGCCCGCTCGCCCCAGCACGCCGGTTCCCCCCGCTACTCCGTCCTTCTCGCTTCTGGAAGGCCCTCTGTCGTTTTCCCCGATCACGCCCGAAGGGGAACTCTCCCTTGACGATTCCGCGACGGCTGCCCGCCTCCGAGCCGTCTCTGCCGCTCGGGCAGCCGTAGAAGCACGCGCATTCGCCGTCAGAAAAGCGCGGGCAGCTTTACGGGCAGCTGCGAAGGCGAAGGAGGCGGTAGCGGCGGTGATTGACGCGGAGAAGCACGAACGGGCAGCAGGAGAGGAAGCGAGCCATAGCTTCCCAGTCAAAGGTGTAAATGGGTATCTGGGGGCTGATGCTGTGGGGACGGGCGATTTAGTGGCGGGAGGGGAGTTGGACGGTACAGACGTGTCCAGGAACGGTGCAGTGCGGTTTTCTTCGAGGTGGCGGCAGGCCTTATCGGAGCTAGAGGCGCGATGTGAACGGCTTTTAACGCGTACAGGAGCAGCAGCTGCGGATAACGAGACAGGCGGGAGAGGCGTGACGGCAGGTGCAAAGCCCGAGGGGGACGAGGTCGGGGAAGAGCAGGGAGTCAGTGAGACTACCACGGGTTTCAGGGAGAGAGGCGAGAGTGGGGGGAGTGGTGGCTTTGAGATTCCTTTCGAGCTCAATCCGTCTGCAGGAAAGGAAGTGCTGGGCGCTCATAACTCGCTCGATTTTCGTCTGAGTGGATCGGACGTCGCTGATTCTGCCCTAGTGCTGGCAGTCAAGGAAGAGGAAACGACACGTGGGGAGAAGGAAAGGGGGTTGGTTCCACGAGAACGGTGCTTAGCGTGGGGTGAAAGGGAGGGAGGGGCTGCAGATGGTGAGACGGCGGAGGACGAGCCGGGGGTGAAAAGCTCATTGCTGGGGGTGCAAAGCGGCGAGGTGCGGCGGTGTGTGTCTTTGGACCTGGTGATGGGCCTCGGCTGCTCGTCCCAGGGGAAAGACGGCAGTGAGGGGCGCGGAGCGAGAAGGAAAGGGCGCCGAGAAGAGGAGGAAGAGGAGGACGAGGGGGAGGTGGAGGGGGAGGGAGGTGTTGAGATGGAGGAGCTGAGCTTGCCGCCTGTGTCGTGCGAGAGTGAGGAATACAAGCAGCCACGGCCGCCGTTGTTACCATCTGGTGCAGACCTGTGCAAGCCAGATGGCGCAGAGCATCGCAAGCCAGATGGCGCAGAGCATCGCAAGCCAGATGGCGCAGAGCATCGCAAGCCAGATGACGCAGAGCATCGCAAGCGGCATTCCAAGGCTGGGAGTGGCAGCAACGAGTGGCGCAGCCGCGGAATCAGCCCGCATGGCCAACCAGATGGGCTGACAGGCGCGGCGGTGGCTGTTGAGTCGACTCAAGCTTCAGATGCGAGGGTTTCAGACAAGGCGGGTTGCGAGAGGCGAGGGCAGCAGGGGTGTGGCGACGTGGGGGAGCAGCGCGAGGGCTGCGCGTCAGCAGCTGTGTGCAGTGGGGAGGAGACACGGCAGCTGATGCCCCGCCACTGGGTTTTCTGCAATGCTGCCGCAAACAGCAGTTTCCCTTCCGCGGATGGCCGTGCTGCTGCTGCAGATGGCAATGCTATGGCAGCTAACAGCCCAGATGTATCGAGCAATCATGCAGCAACCAGCGTCTCCGCGATGGCGTGCAACCGGCGTGCTACTGCGAGCTCGTCTGACCCGGGTGTGGTTGGGGACGGCGTTGAGGGGAAGGGCAGGCGAGAAGCGAGCCAGGAGGGCGGTCAGGCGTGTGGCGAGGGGTCGGCAGCAACGGGTGGGGAGACGGATGCTGAGAAATGCGCAGGAAGGAATGGTGGTGGTGGTGATGTCACTGATGCCAGTGGGGCAGGTGGTGAGAGGAAGTCACAGGCGACCGAGTCTTGTGGGGATGAGGGCGGACAGGCGGTTGGAGCGGACAAAAGCGCGCTCGTGGGCGAGGGGCGACGTACAGAGGGAGTGGTTTGTGCATCAGCGGGTGTGGCCAGAGGTGTGGCTGGAGGGACTGCAGTAGGAGAGGAGGAGATTGGTGGAGCCAAGGAGAGGACAGAATCTGCAAGCGCTGCTGTGGGTGCTGCTGCTGCGTCTGATAATGATGCTGCTGCTGCTTCTGATGCTGCTGCTGCAAGAGCTGCAGACGCCACTGTTCCTCCCGCTCTTCCCGCCACTCCCACGCCTGCGAACACTGCAGTTGGTGCCACTGCCTGTGCCGTTGCTGCACCTTGCCCCTCTGCCGCCACCATCACTACCAGTGCTGATTCCCCGGGTACTCGCCCAGCAATGAGCCCCGCTGCCCCCGTTGGCCCCACTGCCGCCCCCACTGCCGCCCCCACTGCGGCCCCCACTGCCACCACTGCCGCCACTGCCGCCACTGCTGCCACTGTCGCCACTGTCGCCACTGTCCCTCGCCTGTGCGAGGTTGAGAAGCCAGCACAGCAGCTGCGCCAACCCTTCAACAGCTCCCCTCGTACCACTGCCGCGGCCACCACTGGTGCTGCTGGCACTGCCACTGCTGGTATCACTACCGCCGCTGCCTCTGCTGCATCTGCCGCTGCTCCCTCTACCACTGCCGTCGCTACCCTTGGTGTCACTACCACGACTGTTGCTACCTCTGCCACTGCTGCCCCTGCTGCTCCGCGTGCTGTATCTGTTGCTCCTGCAGCAGCTGTTGCCGCCGCTGCTGCTGCTGCCCCGCCTGCTGCTGCCGTCGCCCCTGCTGCTGCTGCTGCTGAAGCGTCGCCAGGCTGTGCGGCAGCAGCGGGCGCGGGCACTCCGCGGCAGCGCTGCGCGTCAGACGACGAGAGGTTGGCACGGCAGCTGCACCGCGCCTTCAACAGCTCCCCGCGCATCCTCGCCGTCCTCGCGCCCACGCCCAAACGCTCCCGCAACCCCCGCCACCCCGCTGCGCCCGCTGCTGCGCCCGTTGCGCCTGCTGCGCCAGCACCTGCGCCTGCGCTTGGGGTGCGTGGGAAGGCAGGACGAGGGGATGCGGGAGAGGCGAAGGGGAGAGGAGAGGCGTGGGGGAAAGCAGAGGTACGGGGGAAGGTGGCAGTAAGGAGAGATGGGGCGGCGGTGGTAGGAGAGTGTGGTGATGAGGTTGGGAAAGCTGCTGGAAAGGGGGGTAGGGCTAAAGTGAAGGAGGAGGAGCGTGGGGTTAAAGGTGCTGGCTCTGGTGGTGCTGGTGTTGATGGTATTGCTGGTGTTGTTTGTGTTGGTGGTGCTGATAGGTGTGAAGCTGCTCCCTGTGACACTCCGATTGGCCAACCCGCTGCTGCTGCAGCTTCTCGCGCACCTTTTCTCCCTGCTCTTCCTTCTCTTCTTCCTTCTCCCCTTCCTCCTGCCGCTGCTGCTGCTGCTGCAGGCACTGCCGCGGACTCGTGCCGTCCCGCGTCTCACTCAGCGCCCCCATCATCTGCCGAGCCCCCCCTCCCGCCGTGCGCCACTCGCCCTGCCGCTCCGCCCTGCGCCACTCGCCCTGCCGCTCCGCCCTGCGCCACTCCCCCTGTTTGCCCCCCTTGTGCCATACTCCGACCCATGTCCCCCGCCCCCCCGGATCTAGCCTGCTTACCACGCGCAGGTGACGTCAGCCCTGGCAAAGATCCCTGCCCCACGTTGGCTGTTGCTGACGCTGAGGCAGACAGAGTGGCGGCAGAACAAGAAAATGGGAAGAAGGCTAGGGCAGGCCTCGGGCAGACGAACGGGCAGATGAACGGGCAGAATGCTGGGCGGGTGGATGGGCAGGCGATTAGGGTTTCGGATGTGAACCCGCAGGGCAGTGGGACGGGAGGTGATGGTAGTGGGGGGGGAGGATTGAACGGTCGGGGCGCGGAGGAGGGGCGTGTGCGAAAGCGAGGGGTTGGAGGGGGAGGAGGGTCAGGAGGAGGTGGTTCAGGGGGATGGGGGGGTGGCGGAAGCTGTGGAGGGGGGAAGGCGGGTAGTAATGGGAGGGGAGGGGCAGCAGGGGGAGGGGGAGGGGGTGGGAATGGGACGGGGGGCGGTGCAGGGGGAGGCACTGGCGGTGCCGGGGATGGGGGAAGAGAGGGCGGCGGAGGGGGAGGGAGAGGGAGAGCAGGGAGGGCGGGGGATGTTGCTAGTGAGGAGGAAGAGGAGGAGGACCGAGGGCGGAAGGGAGGGAGGAAGGCGGGCAACGGCAAGGGGGGTGGCAGGAGGGGCAGCAACAGAGAGACTAGTGGGAATGGGAGGGATGCGAATGCTGGCAGCAGCAGCAGCGATGACAGCTTGAGTGACCGTGTGGAAGACGAGGGGGAGGAAGATGAGGAGGAGGATGATGGAGAAATGGACGGTTCAGATGATGAGAGCAGCCTCAGGCGCAGCAGCAACGCCAGCAGCCACGACGGCAGCAGCAATGGCAGCAGCGGGAGCAGCTACAGGGAAGGGGAGGAGGAGGAAGAGGAGGAGGAAGAGGAGGAGGAAGAGGAAAAGGAGGAGAAGGAGGAGGAGGAGGAGGAAGGACTGGAGCAGAAGACGCAAAGGAAACAGCGAAGGAGCTTGAGCGGGGCTCGAAGTGCGCAGGGTGGTAGGCGAGGCTCGTGGGGGGCGTGGGAGGAGGGCGGCGGGAAGGGCAGCCGCGACAAAGGCAGGGGAGGCTCCATCCCTAGCGACCGGGGAGATTGGGACAGAGAGAAGGAGAGGGAGGTTAGTCCGGACGTGGGTGGTGGCGGGGCGTGGGCGAGTGAGGCGGGTCAGGAGGGTGGCGGAGGGAAAGCAGGGTTGCGAGTGAACCACCACAGAGGCAGCGGCCGGGCGTCAGAGGGACCGTCCCTCGCTTATGGCGGAGACACGTCGCCCGTCATTCCCGTGCCCTCGAAGGAGGCTCGGCAGCCGCGTTCACAGCTGGTTTGTCACCCGAGGCGGTTTCCGAAGCTGGCTCTAGCGGGGATAGTGGAGGACGAGGGAGGCGAGGAGGGGAAGGAGGGAAAGGAGGGGAAGAGCAAGGGGAAGGTGAAGGAAAGCGGGTGGGAGAAGGTGAGGGAGAAGGAAGGGGAGAAGCGAGATAGGAGGCGGAATGGGTTGGGGGAGGAGTATGGGGGGGAGAGGATCAAGAGGGCATGTGAGAAAGAGAAAGAGGGGTTGAGGATGAGCGAGGTCGAGGGTTTTATGCAGAAGCAGAGGGAGAAAGGGGGCGAGATGGAGAAGCAGAAGAAGCGGGAGAAGGAGAAATCAAGAGAACGAAGCATTGCAGAGGAGTGGGGAGTGGTGGCGGACAGAATGACTGAATGGGGCGCGGGGAAAAGCAAGGGGAAGGCAGAACCGATGGGCAGCGGCGACTGGGAGAAGGAGTGGGAGAGAGGCGCGAAGGCTGGGTCTGCTGAGAGAGAGACAGAGAGCCGAGCGAATCACAAAGAAGGGAAGGATGCAGGCGGGGGAATGGCGTGCGGAAGGGCAAGCGAGAGAGGGAGGGATCACCTGGGAGACTTGGGGAGGAGTAAGGGAAGAGAAGGCGGCAAAGAGGAAGGGTTGGGGGAAGAGAGGGAGAAGGGGCGGGCGGTTTCGGAGAAGCCAGAGGGTGTTGAGCGATACGAAGCGGTTGAGAGAGTCAAGGACAAAGAGAACATCCGCGGACGACTCAAGGATGTGGGGGATGTGGAGAGGGCGGAGAAGAGCAAGCAGGAGGAGCGGAAGAGCGAGAAGGGAAGGGGAAAGGGGCGGGAGAATCACCTTGCAGTAAGGAGCGGAGAGGCCGGGGAGGCCTGGATGGTTGAGTCGAAGAAAAAGGACAAGTCTGAAGGATTTTTGGGTGGGAAACAGCAGCGGGATGGGGTAGTGCCACATTCGTTAGTGTCACACTCGTTAGTGCCTTCGTTACTGGCTCGTGCTACTGTGGCCCCGCAGGTGGAGGGGAAGCGGTGGCGGAAGAAGGGTATTGTGGCGGGCCGGGCGTGGAGTGCTGTAGAGCAGGACACTATAGAGGATGTTCTCTTAGAGGATATTAGAGACCGTGACACTAAGGAGGGGATCAGGAAGGAGAGTGCTGTGAAAGGTGCTGAAGGAAAGGAGAAAGGGAAGGTGAAGGGTAAGGGAGAGAAGGAGAAGGAGGAGAGGGAAAGAGAGAGGGGGAGGGATGCGGAGAGGGGTGTGGTCAAGGGTGTTGGGGAGACCGGCGTGCCTCTCAGTGTGCCTCTCAGCGTGCCTCTCAGCGTGCCTCTCAGCGTGCCTCCCAGTGGTAATGGTGGCTTGACGGCAAGCTGTAAGCGCAAGCGCAGTGCGGAGAGAAGTTTCTCGGAAGGTTCTGCCGCGGTGCGTGCGGTATCCTGTCATGTTGGTGGTAACCATGTGCCGGCCAGTAACCTCTCCCACCCTGGTAACCATAGGCATCCTGGTAACAACGTTCATGCTGCTGGTAACCACATGCACACAGATATTCCCGCTCAGGCTGGTAACCATCCACACGCCTGTAACCACACTGACGCTGGTAACCACACTGCGGCTGGGGCAGATTTCGCAGTAGCAGGAGCAGCAGCAGCAGGTGGGGCTTCGATGGGAGGAGCAGCAGCGGCAGGAGGGGTGACGGGAGGAGGAGAGCCAATGGGGGTGGTGGAGCGGATGGGAAGAGCACCAGTTGTACCCAGGGCGAGAAGCGCGGACACGTTTGCAGCACAGAGGAACGCGGAGGGAACAGCAGGGCATAGGAGCGCGGATGCGGTTTCAGGGGCTAGGAGCGTGGATGGGAGTGGGGGGCGCAGGAGTGAGGAGGGATTTGGGGGACCCATGTCGCCGCCTAGGGTCAGAGCCAAGAAAGCAGAGAGTGGCAGTGGTGGGGGCGAGAGAGAAGCGATGCGCGCGTGCCCGAGTCCCACGGGGCGAGGTGTGGCGCCCAGCAGCACTGCTTCGTCATGGGGCGAAGGTGAGGTTGTGTGGGGTGCTTGGTGCGTATGTGGTGCGTGGTGCGTGCTGGGTTGGGTGGTGCCTGGTGTGTGTTGGGGCTGAAAGGGGAGCGGTTCATGTGTGCACGAGTCCCACAGGACGAGGTGTGACGCCCAGCAGCACTGCGTCGTCGTGGAGCGACGGTGAGGCTGCGTGGGTGCTTGATGCGTGCGTGGTGCCTGCTGGTGGTGCCTGCTGCGTGGTGCTTGCTGCTTGGCTCTGCAACGGTCATAGATTTGTCGTTGCTGTGCTTCCCGTCTGCCTTTCCTCCTTGTCATGTCTTGACGTGTGAGGTATGGGACCAGCAAACAACCTCCCCCCGTGTCGCTTCGTCTCCGTTATTTCCATGCAAGCAACCGCCTCTGTCTCACCTGCTACTGCACTCCAAAGTTTCACCCCTTCCCTCCCATCCGCCTGCTCCTGCTGCCCTGCCCCCGTGCCCACATCCCCGCCCACTGCTGCTCCTCTCCCCGTGTGCCCATTGCCGGCTGCAGCCCCTCTTTCCCCTCCAGGTACCCACACACACCAAACCCCACCACTCCAAACCCAATCTGACGGCGTCCTCCGTTCACCAGGTCATGCCACCTCTAACCACGACGCTCACCACTCATTTGCCACTGCTCCGCGGCCTGCCGCCCACTGCTCTGTTCCTCTGCCTGCGGATTCTTCCCCGCATGCCACAGCTGCGGAAGCAGCAGCCCTAGCTCTTGACATGTTCGCTGCTGCCGCTGCTGCTGCGGAGGCGGGTGGGCAGACAAGCAAGGAGGAGGAGGACGAGGGGGGAGGTGGGGGAAGTGACAGTGGTGGCAGCAGCAGCAGCCGAAGCGGCAGCAGGAGGCACAGGAAGAAGCAGCGTTGGGGGAAAGAGGGGAGGAGGGATGGGAGAGAACCGGGTGGGCCTGCGTTGGAATCTACACCGTTGGATCGGCTCGCGTTGCTCTCAGATGCACAGCCACGTGTCCATGAGGATTCGCTAGGGCGGCAGGGAGCAGCGTGGGTAGCGGCCAGAGAGGAGGGGCGGCAGGGTGCAGGGTATGGCATGGGCATGGCGCTGGCTCAGCCAAGTGCGGGTGGCGCTCAGCTAAGTGCGGGTGTTGCTCAACTATGTGCGGGTGACGCTCAGTTAAGTGCTGGCGGGGCAGCTGGGAACCATGCTGCTTGGAGCTCAGGTGTTGGTGCTGCGGATAGTAGTGTAATTCAAATAGAAGGGGAAGGAAGAGGAACAGGAGGAGGAGGAGCAGGAAGAGCAGCTGTAGAAGTTGGAGGAAGGGCAGGAGGACGAGAGATTGTGAACGAGGAGTGTAGAAGTGATGAAGACGATTGCCTGTCCGGGCTAGACCTTATAGCAGCAGAGGCAGCGGAGGTGCTTGCAGTGAGGCTGCTTGTATCGGGTATGCAGCCCGAGCGGGCGGCAAGCCCGTCTTTAGCAGCGCTTGTAGAAGCAGCGATGCTGCCTTGTAGGGGGGACAGTAGAGCAGGAGAAAGGGAGGATAGCAGGAGGGAGGATTTAGAAAGGGAGGATATAGGCGGGGCGCATATAGGGAAGGTGGATACAGCAGAAGGTGTGGGTGGTGGCTGTGGCACGAGTCAGGGCGCAATGCAACATGAGGAGAGGCTGAGGGGGGGGGTGGGGCGGGCAGTGGGGTGGGACGTGGAGAAGGCCGCTGGGTTGGGGCAGTCGGAGTGGGAGTCAGGTGCGGCTTGTACAGACAGACATGCAGGGCCGGCTGGTGCAGACTGGCATGCAGGGGATGTGCAGGAGGAGGGGGAGAGAGGGGTTGGGGTTCTGGAGACAGGGGTTGGTTGGCATGGATTGCAGATGCGGTTAGAAGGAGGGTCACATGGAGGGTTACAACAAGGGCGGTTGCAAGAGGAAGAGTTACAACAGGAAGGGCCAGCACAGGAAGGGCCAGCACAAGGGAAGGCGTTGCTGGAGCAGTGGAGGCCGAAGCCGAGGATAGTGGACTTGAATGAGCCATGGCGGGAGGAGGACGAGGACGAGGAGGCGCAGCAGGACGAGCAGGAGGCAGGGGTGGTGGGAGAGACGGTGGAGAGGGCAGCAACGGTTCGAGCTTCCTCCCCGCATGCAGCAGTGCCCCCAGCAGCTGCGGCTCTTGCGCGTGCAGCCAGCCCGCGTGCTGCAGAGTTAGAGGCTGCTCACCCACACCCAGCAGTCGCCACAGCGCCTGCTGATAGCCCACGTGCTGCGGAATCCGAGCCTTTTCCCCCACAGCCAACAGCCGTCACGGTGGTGCCTGCAGCTGGTGCGGGCTGTGAGGCGGCCTTAAGGGCGCCTCCGGTATCACTGGCAGCAGCCGCGGCAGCAGCGCCACTTGCAGCAATGGCTGGTGGTGGGGGTGCAGGTGTCAGTGGCAGTGCAGGTGTCGGTGCTGGTCTTGGCGCCAGTGTGAGTGCTGCCGCTCAGGCTGCTGCGCCTGATGCCGGTGCTGATGCTGCATGTGGGCGCAACGCACTTGGCCCAGCTGCTTCTGTGGATCCCGGGGCTCACCTTGTGGAGCCGCACCCTGTGGGGCATCAGCAGGAGTGCGTGGGTGCTAGCGCATCTCTGCTTGTTTCCTGCAGCTCTGCAGGCGCAGGGCTGGACGGTGATGGCCTTCATAGTGCAGGCATGTGGGAGAAGGGGGCAGGCCTGGATGTGCTGGGAGGCCGAGGTCTAGTTGCGGGTGTGTCTGAAAGTGCAGGCATGCGGGAGAAGGGGGGAGTTACGGAGGAGCAGAGGCGGGCGGAGGGGATGTGGGGCGCGGGAGAGGAGAAGGAGCGGAATGAGATGAAAGGGGAGTGGGGTGGGAAGGCAGGGGGTGGGGAGAAGGGTGGGGAGAGTGAGAAGCGAGAGGAAAAGGTGAAGGTGGAGAGGGTGGAGAGGGATGAGGGAGGGAGAGAGGGGAATGTGGATGGGGGTGTGAGGAAAGAGAGAGGAGAGAAGAGGAAGCGGGACAAGAGGGAGAGGGGCGAGAAGAGAGAGAAACGGGAGAAAAGGGATAGAGGGGATGAGAAGGGGAAGGACAGGGGACGAGGGGAAAAGGGAGAGAGGAGAGGCAAGGGGGAGAAGGAGAAGAGGCGTAAAGGGGAGAGGAAGGAGAAAGGGGAAGGGGTGAAAGGGGAAGAAGTGAAGACCGAGAAAGGAGTTAGGCCAGTGGGAAGAGGGGCTGGGGAAGATGGGGAGAGGGGGAAGGAAGAGGAGGAGTGTGCTGAGGTTGAGGCTAAGAGGAGCAGAGCAGCAACGTTGGAGTCGATGGTTGGGCCGCGGACAGCAGAAATGCAGGATATCGGCGCAGCAAAAGCAGGGGCTGCAAAGGCAGAGGCAGTGCAAGCAGGGGCAGGTGTTGGGGTTGATGCAGAGGCAACTGCTCTGCTGGGGGTGGTGGCGGGAGTGGCTGCGGCCCGTCAGGCTGAGCGAAGTGAGGTGAAGGCAGAGATAGGAGAGATGGGGGCGACAGGGGAGAAGGGAGCGCAGGGGGGGAATGGGATGGAGGAGGAGGAGGAGGTGAAGGAGGGGAAGGGAGGTGCAGGTGAGAGGGTAGTGGGGGATAGGCAAGGGGTGGCGAGGGAGGGCGAGGGGGTCGAGCATGAGGGTGGGTCGAAGGCCGAGGTGGTTAAACGGAAGGAAGGAATGGCCAAGTCGGAGAGTGGGATGATTAGGGATGGGAGGATGGGAGAGGAAAGGATGGGAGAGGGGAGGATGGGAGAGGGGAGGATGAAAGAGGAGGCAGTGGAGAAGGAGGAGAGGGGTGAGAGAGGAGAGGGAACGGTGAGAGAAGAGGGGATGGCGAGGGAGGGTGGCATAGCGAGAGAAGAGGGTATGGAGAGGGAGGAGGGCTTGGTGTGTTGGAACGATGATGCGCTGTCAGATGTGAGTGAGGACGCTGATGCCGAAGCTAATGCCGATGCAAATGCCGAACCTGATGCCGAAGCTGATGCCGAAGCTGATGGCATGGGCGCTGGAGGCTCTGCTGCTGAACCTGAGTTTGAACCTGAAGCGGGCCTACAGAGCGATTCCTCCAATGCTCACGGTCGACTCAAGCCCACATTCTCTGATGTCACCGAACCTGATGCCTCTGAACCTGCAGTCTCCGAGCCTAGCTTTGAGGCTCCCCAGGGGCCTCATGCCTCCGAACCTGACACGACGGAAGTGGATGGTTCCGAAGCTGCTGCTGCTACCGAAGCTATGGATATGGATGCTTTGTTATTGAGCCGACTCAAGCCTGCACTCTCTGATGTCACCGAACCTGATGCTGCCGAGCCTGATGGTTCCGAACCTGATGCTATGGATGAGATTTCTCCTCTTCATGTGCTCCCGGACTTGGAGGCAGCTTCGGCTCCAGGTTCGGCTGCATCGGCTCTAGGTTCGGCAAGCAAGGGCCTGTCCTCTCCAGGTTCGACAAGCAAGGCCTCTTTGACTCCAGGTTCGGCAACCAGACCTAGCCAAAAGGTTCGGAAGGAGCAGGAGCAGGGGCGGAGGGAGCTTCAGGAGATGATGGGGGAGGAGAGTAAGGGAGAGGTGGTTTTGGAAAAGAGGAAGGGAGGAGAGGAGGAGAAGGGTGGAGAGAGAGAGGGGAGAGAGAAGGGGCGTGACAGTGTAAGGGAGGAAGGGAAAGGGAAGGCGAAGAAGGAAGAGAAGAGAGAAGGTGAGAGAAGGAAGGAAGGGGAGAGAGAGGGGTACAGGAGGGAACGAGTTCACAGAAAGAACTCGAGTTCGTCTTTTGATGTAGGGCGGGAGAAGGGAGAGGAGGGGAGGAGGGATAAGGGAGAGGAGGGGAGGAGGGATAAGGGAGAGGAGGGGAGGAGGGAAAAGGGAGAAGTGGGGAGGAGGGAGAAGGGAGAGGAGGGGAGGAAGGAGAAGGGAGAGGAGGGGAGGAGGGAAAAGGGAGAGGAGGGCAAAAGGGAGAAGGGAGATGAGAGCAGGCGAAGCAAGGGAGAGGAGAACAGGCGAGACAAGGGGGAAGAGAGCAAGAGGGGTAAGGGAGAGGAGGGGAAGCGAGAGGAGAGGAAGAGAGCAGAGAGTGTGGATCGGCGAGCAGGGAGTGAGAGGAGGGAGGGCAGTGAGAGGAGGGAGGGGAGTGAGAGGAGGGAAGGGAGTGAGAGGAGGGAAGGGAGTGAGAGGAGGGAGGGGAGTGAGAGGAGGGAAGGGAGTAGACGGGGTGTGGAGAAGGGGAGGGGGCGGATGAGCAGTGTGGAAGGGGAGGAGGACAGTGAGGAGGGCGGGATTGGTAGGGGGAGCAGGGAGGAGAGAGGGGGGAGTAGGGAGGAGAGAGGGGGGGTAGGAGGGAGAGAAGCGAGGGAGGGTTCGAGTGGGTGGGAGAGGGAGAGAGAGAGGGAAAGGGAGAGTATGTTGGGAGGACGTGGATCGTGGAAGGAGGGAGAGGAGAGAGCGAGAGAGGGGAGGGAGGGGAGGGAAGGTAGAGAGGCAGGAGATTGGAGAGAGGGAAGGGAGGGAAGAGAAGGGATGGAAGGGAGGGAAGTCAGGGAGTGGAGGGAGAGCAGGGAGGAGTGGGAGGGAAGGGACGGGAGAGACGCAAGAGAAAGCGGCCGAGACAGAGACAGCGGCAGGGAAGGCAGGGAGGGGAGAGAAGGCAGAGAAGGGAGGCGTGAAACGGGGTTCAGCGATTGGCCGTTAGACCTGCCTCTGGATCCCGACGGCTTCCCCCTCCCGATCGATCCCATGCTGCTCCCCCGCTCTGCTGCCGCCGCCGCCGCTGCTTCTGCTTCGTGGCGAGACGGCCCTAGTCCTAGGCTGTCGGGAGGAGGCGCAGGAGGGGGCATGCGCAGGAGCCCTGACAGGGAGTTTTTCCTGGGGCCGGGGGGAGTAGGGGGGGCAGGGGGCGGGTGGGGTGCCGGGGGGCTTCACCCTCCCCCCCGCGGCCTCCCCCCTGGGCCAGGCAGGGCGTTTGGGGGAGCAGCGGGGGTGCCTATGAGTCCCGCTGTCATGGCTGCCGCTGCTGCTGCTGCCGCTGCTGCCGCTGGGATGCCGGCGGGGTGGATTGGGCCGCCAATGGGGCCGCGCCACCTGGCGGCTCGCCGTGCTTCTGCTGCTGCGGCAGCTGCGGCGTCGGCTGGCGGGATGGGGATGAGGGGAGGGCCGCTGGGGGGGATGGGAGGGGGGAGAGGGGGCGCTGGAGGGATGGAGGAGCTAGTGGAGCTGCACAGAAGAGGGGGGGAGCATGTGGGCGGGGGAGGGCCCATCCGGGGGAGGCACAGCCTGCGGGAAGCTGCCGCGCTACGCCGCCCGGAGCACCTCGCGGCAGCTGGGTTTGGAAGAGGGGGCATGCATGAGGTTTGGCGGAGGGACGGGTGGAGGGAGGCTGGCATGAGGTTAGGCCCGGGAGGTCCCGGACCTGGGATAGGCCCGGGAATGAGGATGGGTGGTGGGTTCGGAGGGTATGGGATGGGGCCTGGACCTGGGATTCCGTTTGTTGGGGGGGCAGGGGGGATGTATGGGGGGGGGGCAGGTCTCCCCCGTGACCCCAGGGATCATTTCCCCCTGGAGATGTGGAGGGGGGGCGGGGGGAGAGGCAGTGACGGGGGGAGGGCGGAGGGAAGGAGGGATTCGGATGGGGGGAGGATGGGGTGGGATGAGCCTGGCAGCAAGGAGAATGGGGTGATGGGGGGAGGGGAGAGAGGGGGACTTGGGCCCCCCACACCTTCTGGGGGAGGCCCAGGGGGGAGAGGGGGGGTGGGGGGGTTTCAGGCGGAGGGAAAGGGGAGAGGGGGGTTTCACCCGTCGCCTGGGGCAGGGGAGGGGGACTGGGGGGCGATGGGGAGCGTAGGGGAAGGGAGGGGAGGGGGAGAGAGGGGGGAGAGGGGAGGGGCGACAGGAGGGAGATCAGGAGGGGGCAGTGAGTGGGGTTCGCCTGTAGGGGCAGGATCGAGTGGGCGGAAGCAGCAGACAAGCGGAGAGGGAGGGGGAGGAGGCAGTGGGGGAAAGGAGATGTTACGATCTGCTAACGGGCACCGCCGTTAGAGCTGGGCTGATAATACTGGTACTGGTGCGGTTCTTGGTGTTGGGCTGAGTGATTCTACCTCAACACTAGGAGAGTGTATAGTTTTGCTGTGTCAACACGGAGCGGGCAGGTGTAGACCCTTTCTGGGGTTCTGCATGGATAGGCTAGATTCTTATTTTCTAACCGTTGTCCTAGATATGATTCACTTAACAATACTACAATCACACTGGTTTGTAGCCCATGCTCGATAGAATATAGCTGCAAATTATTGGTGCGATCTACCGTCATCGCCCGGATATATGTCTTATCTCGTACACGGGCAAAAATGCTTGAGTTATCTTGTAAACGGGATGGTTTAGGGTGTCTTATAATTCTTATAAATGGAAAATTTTTTAAGTTGACTGTAACACTTGCAAAGTGTGTAGAAAACACCCAGGGACCAGATTCATTGAAACAGGCCGACCTCGGTGGTGATGTAGCAAAGCTGCCACCGCTGGCAAGATTCCTCTGTGCTGGCAGCATCTAATGATGCTGCCAGCGTCGTTTTGCTGCCAGCAGCGCATGGCAGCTTCCAGAACGCTGCTGGCAGCACGTTGGCAGCGTCAGGCTGTCCTCTACGAGGAGATGCCTCGTAGAGGAGCGGCTCGGCACCTGTGGATGGGGCACTCTGGCTGGGGGGGGTAGTCAGGCTTTCACTTCATTTGGTGCTCATGGAGGTTGAATTCTCACCTCAACCTTGCTCTCAGCAGGCTCTCTAACCATGCGCAGCAAGGTACCCCTAGGCAAGTCCTCACCTCGTCCTCACGTGCAGGTGAATAACTACGGGCGAATTAACTCGCCCGGCGATGACATCCGCGTAGCCATGGCGAAGAACGCGAGCAAGGCGGGAAGTCCTACCGCCGCCTCCGGTGCGAGCTGTGACGGGGAAGACGGAGACGAAGCACACGGCGACGACGCCGAGGAGGATTGGCCGGAGAACGGCCACGATGACAGCGCTTCGGGCGACGAATTTGGTACTGCCGACATCGAGGAGGACGAATGGTGGAATCAGCCGGTCGGGAGCGACGACGAGGTGGAAGAGTGGCGGGCTGGTGATTCCGACAACGACGGAGGTGAAGATGCTGGCGGTGACAACGCGGAGGCACAGGAAGCGGCGGTGGATGCGAATGAGGCTGCCGACGAGGCGGCGGCGGAACTCGAGACAGAGGCGCCTGCGGATGCGGACGCGGTGGCGGAGGCGGACAAGGTGGCTGCGGATGCCGTCTTATTTGAGGGTGAGGGCGACGACGACGACCCGTGGAGCCTTGGGACAGACGACGACGTTCCGCTACTGAAGCGGAGGCTGCGCCATCGCCTACAGTCCACGACGAAGCGCGCCCGCGTGGTGCTCTGTGACGACGACAGTCCCGGGGAGGAGCGTCGCCCCCTACTCACCGCTGCGGAGAAGGGAAAGGCAAAGGTTGTGGAAGCCCCTGCTAAGTCCCCTGCTAAGGCCCCTGCAAAGGCCCCTGCTCGTGGCCGCACAAGCAACAAGAAGCGCAAGGACGACAGAGACCCTGGATCCAGCAAGGGTGCGGCAAAGAAAAAGGCGAAGAAGGCGCCGAATCCTGACGACATCATCGTCAACGAGGCGTTGGGCAGCGACGATGAGTACGCGGCGGCGGCGGGCCCGATTCCCACGTTCCCTGAGAAGGAGGCGCCGAAGGACCCCACCCTCCATAATCCCAACACCCGCCCACCTTCCCCTCGCAGCAAAGACACTACGAAGAAGCGCCGCGGCTGGACCGTGCGTGAGAAGGTTAAGTGGGCGCGCCGCTATCAGGAGCTCGGCTCCTTGAAGAAGACTAGCTTGGAGTCAACCGCGAGCGTCGCCTGCATCAGACGCTGGTGCGCGGAGGCGGCTGCGGGCATCTACAAGGGCGCGGCTAACTGCCGCAAGCGGATGCACGGGGGGGGCCGCCACGCACACTACCCCGACATGGAGGCAGCGTTGTACCGCTACATCTGCCTTCAGCGCGCTAACGGGGTGGCCATCTCGGTGAAGGACACCCAAAAGTGGAGCCGCGAGTGGATGAAGAAGCATTACCCCGGCAAGAACTGGAACGCGAGCTCTCACTGGAGCCAGCGTTTCCGTGACCGCTGGAACCTGGTGATGCGGGTGAAGACGAAGGTCGGACAACGTCTGTCGGCAGGTGCGTGGATAAGGAGTTCGTGCCGCGCACGGCCCATTGTATGCATGTCTTACCTTGCTCGTTGTCTAACCGTCCCTCGCTTCTATTCCTGTCCCGTTTGCAGAGTGCGCGAAGAACTGCGAGTCCTTCTGGAAGTTCGTGCGCATCAACAGGGCGCGGCACAACATCGACCTGGCCCGTATCATCAACGCGGACCAGACGCCACTGTTCGTGGAGATGCCGGCCGAGAGGACGATCGAGCACCGTGGCGCGCGCTCGGTCCCAATCCGCACTGCAGGCTACCAGAAGACGCGCTTGACGGTGATGCTCGCGTGCACTGCATCCGGGGAGAAGCTGCGGCCGTGGGTGTGGTTCAAGATGAAGAACGTCCCCAACTGTGAGATTCCGGACGGTAAGCGCCATGACTTCAACCTTGCCCCTGCCTCATGAGCGTGCCCCACTGTGCTGATGTCCGTCTGTCCCTTGTGTGCCTGGCAGGAATCGTGGTCCAAGCACAGGACAACGGGTGGATCGACGAGAGCGCTGTGCAGACCTGGCTGTCCAAGGAGGTGCTTCCCCATCTGAACCCCCAGCGCGGCAAGAGCGCGAGGCGTGCGATGCTGGTGTTGGACTCCTACCGCGGCCACATCACCCAGACCATGCTTCAGTCGTACCGCACGCACAGCATCACCCCTGCAGTCATTCCAGCGGGTTGTATGAGCCAGATTCAACCCCTGGACGTTTCCATCAACCGGTGCTTCAAGGCTGCCGTGCGAGCACGCTACGCCAGGTGGTTCATGCGTGAAGGGATTCACCTGAAGACGAAGAAGGGTGAGTTGGCTGTTCATTTTAAATTCCTGCTCTGTTTCGTGTCCTTATCGTTAACATCTCGCTGCCGTGTCCTCTGTCCCACCCGCAGGGAACCTGCGGAGGCCTCCGCACCCCGTGGTGCTGCAGTGGATCGCGGAGGCTTGGGATCAAGTCCCCAGGCAGATCATCATCGACGCGTTCCGCCACTGTGGGATCTCCAGCAAGCTGGACGGAACGGAGAACCACCTGGTGATGTCTCACCTGCGCGCCAGGAGCACCACCGATGTCTCCGAGGACATGTCCCTCGGGGGGACCACAGGCGACAACACGCGCCTGCTTCGGAAGGCTCCAGAGGAGGAGGAGGAGGAGGAGGAGGAGGAGGAGGAGGAGGAGGAGGAGGAGGAGGAGGAGGAGGAGGAGGAGGAGGAGGCGATGCAGGCGGAGGGCGTGCGGGAGGTGGCCGTGGCAACTGGCCTGGAGGTGCTGTACCAGGAGACCCCCAACTACCGCGGAGCGGCGGCCGAGGCTGACCGCATGATCGAGCCAAGGGAGACGGCTAGGCATGCCTGGCGAGTGCCAGACCTGGGCGTAGAGCCTGTTGCTAGTGCTGCAGAGGAGGCGGTTACTGAGGGGGGTTAGGTAGAAGTAGGGATTCATGAATGTATGGATGTACCCCCCTAAAGTAGTGTAGGCTCGTTTAGAAGACACCCCCTGTTTATAAGAAAACCCCTAAACCCCGGTTCTGATTATAAGACATATATGTCTTATCTCGTACACACAAATAGGTGTCGTATAAAAAGGCTTGCCTGTTTATAAGAGACACCCGTATAGTAGACAACCCCTGTCTACTGTTCAACACTGTCTTATATCCGGGCGATGACGGTATTTTTTTAGCTGTAGCGGTGAAAGATTGTTACTAGTGGCCAAAGTTTGAAAAAAAAAAAAAAAAAAAAAAACTAGTATCTAGTGAAAGTTTCGTGTGGGCGTTACTAGTATATCAATCTATTACTAGATTTAAACAAATAAATTACTAGATTTAAACAAAAAAATTTTACTAGTATCTAGTGAAAGTTTCGTATGAGCGTTACTAGTATATTGTTACGAGTGCAACTGAGTGAGCGAGCGAGGATTGCACTATCGAGACAAGATACAATGAGCGAAGGAATGAGCGAAGAATATATAGCGAAACTACGGTGGTAACGGTAACGTGGGAAAATGGGGTGCGCGACGGGCCTAATGCCGAGGTTTGGGGAACTGTCGAGGCGGAGGTCCGGAGCGCGGGTTACCAACCGAACCGTGTGGTTGGGTCGCATCGTGAACAGTGGCGGGAATGGTGTCGAGGCGAATGTCGCGAGTGGTAACGGGATATTGTGGGGTGTTGTCAGTGTTGTACGCGCTGAGCGGGGACGCGAAGTAAGGAAAAGGAATTTTCCTTACACTACCCCCCCCCCTCAAGGAGGCCTCCCTTACGAGAGCGCGTGTATATCCCGGAAATTTCTGCTGCGCAAGTAGTCGTTGAGGACGGGGTGGTTTTCGATTTTGTCCAGGGGAACCCAGTTGTCCTCGGTGGGTGTGCGGTCTCTCCAGCGTATTAAAAATTCGACCCTTCTGGCTCCTTGTGGGTCACGAACTCGGTGGCTCAGAATATTTTCGGGCATGATGACTGGCTCGGTCGGTGGTCGGTGTCAAGTTTATATATGCTATAGTCTGTTTAGGCTGTAGTGGGGTAGTTGTTATAGGGTAAAACACTTTTAGGTTTCCTACTTGTACCCAACTGCTCCTAGTTCATTCATTCCTCTCATTATTCTCACAGTCGGGTCATGCTGGTTGGGCGATGTCGGGCCAGTTGGCTGGTGGATGGGATGTAGGGGCGCAGCAGGCTGACGTGGAAGGAGGGGCTGGCGTACCAGTCAGCGGGGAGGAGGAGGTGGGCGGTGACCGGTGTGACCATGTGGCTGATGCGGAATGGCCCACAATATCGGGGGCGGAGTTTCGGAGTTATGGGCAGGCGGAGGTTTTGAGTGTCGAGTAGAATTAAGTCGTCGGGTTGGTAAGTGAGTGGTCGGCGGTGGCGGTCGGAGTTGCGCTTAGCGATAACGTTCGCCTTTTTAATTGCGTCCGCTGCCCTGGTCCGAGCTTCCTGTAAAATTTATGCGAACTGTTGCGCTCGTGGCACCGGGTTGTCGGGATTCGGGGTCATGGGTACTGTAGGGTCTTGTCCGTAGTTCAGGTAAAATGGCGACTGTTGGGTCGTGGCGGATGGCGAGTTGTTGTACGCGAATTCGATTAGTGGAAGTTGCTGTTCCCAGGTGGTGGGATCGTCGCACGTGGCCCGGATTAACTGTTCCATGGTCTGATTTGTCCGTTCTGTCTGTCCATCGGTTTTGGGGTGGTACGAAGAACTGAACTGCAGCCTCGTGCCGAACTGCTGCCACAGGTTCCGCCAGAAATTGCTGGTAAACTTCGTATCGCGGTCGCTGATTATCGCTGCTGGTATCCCGTGTAATCGAACAACGGTTGCGATGAAGAGACGGGCCGTTTATTCGGCTGTGATTGATTTCTTACATGCTGCGAAATGTGCCATTTTCGTCAGTCGATCGACGACGACCAGGATCGCGTCGTTCCCACTTGCACCCGCCGGTAACCCCGTGACGAAGTCCATCGTCACCTGCTGCCAAGCACGCTCCGGGGGTGGTATCGGCTGCAATTGTCCTGCCGGCCGCTTCCGTGATGATTTCATGACCTGGCAGGTGGGACACGATGCCATGTGTCGTTGCACGTCGGTCAACATTTCGGGCCAGTAGTAGTACCGCTGCAGCTGCTGCCGTGTTTTTTCTACTCCGAAATGCCCTGAGGTAACTCCGTCTATAAAAATCTTCACTGCTGCTCCCTGTATTTTCCCGTGAATCAGAGTTGGGCAATCCGTCGCTGTACCCTCCTTATTCGTCTGAGCCCGATCGATAGCGTGAATTGGTACTGTGACTCGGTGAGGGTTGGTGAAGTTGGGCGAGCAAGCAGTCTCGTCAGTAGTTGGCCCAACTTCTACTGACTGCTGGCGTTTCCCGGCCTCTGAGACTCTCGCCCCTGCTCTGTTCCACGGCGCCTTAGCTCCTCTGGACATTCACTTTTGCGATGGCCCGGCCTATTGCAAGCAAAGCAGCGCTCCTTAAACGGTGCGGCAGCTGCATTCGTCGCAACGGCGTGTACGGTGGCGTGCTCGGTCGGCCCCCGAGGACGTTGTCCGTAGTAGGACCCCGGTCTCGGTCGCCGTAGGATGTCGATTTTCTCGGCGAGCGCGATGATCTCGTTGAAATTCGAGAGCCCGCGTAGCATAATTTCGTGCGATATGTCCGGCTTTAGCCCTCCGACGTAACGGTCCACCCGCTCCGCTTCGTGCATATAGCCGACTTGTTCGCATAGTGCGAGAAAGCCGCTAGTGTAATCTTGAACCGACCCGAGCTGCCGCCAAGTGCGCAGCTTCTGACGCGCCGAAATCGAAGCCGCGATCGGCTCGAAACGCGCCCGAAGCCCCGCGCACCACGCATCCCACGTGCTGTACTAGGCTGTCTCGCAGAATGAACTCCAGGTGACGGCTGGGCCCGTGGGCCCGTCTTCGTGCGACGGTGGCTCGTAGCCGCGTGGCGACGTCACGATGACTCGCCACCAGTCCATGGCGGGGCCCCTCAGCAGCGAAACATCATAGCGAATCTTCGCTGCGTCCGACTCGACGTAATTGGCGTCGAAAAACACGTTCATCGTGAAGACCCACGACTGAACCGTCGGACCCCCACGATGGCTTGGGTCGAAACAGGGCGGACGCTGCGGCTTGAGTGGCATTAGTGCCGTGACGGCGTATTCGCCACTTGTCGCCGCAAATTCCACGTGCCGACGGGACTCGCGGGGCTCCCGTGGGCTTGGTGCGGTCCTGATTCTCTCCATGCCCGGCATCGAGTGAGTGGCGCCTTCACTGGCTGCGCCCGAGCGTTGTCCTACGCTGTCATTCTGTGTCGGTGTGCCAGAGGAGATGACAATCGGCTCCTCCGAATGTGCAGGTGCGTGTGTTGGCGGTGGTGCATTCACTGTCGATTGTTGGCGAGCGGAGTCGCGTTCCGCCGTGAGTGTGGCGATTTCAAGCGCCGATTCTTCGAGTTGGCGCATGAGCCGATCTAATTGCTCCGGTGTCAGTGTCGCGACGTTGAGTTCTGCCGTGGCGGGGGTGTCGGGCAAGCTCAGCGAGAGCCTCTGTCGTGGCCGTGCGTGCTTATGAGAGAGCACTACGAGCGGCGGTGCTTGATCGCTGAGAGACGTATACCTGTAAAGATTAGTAGGTAGAGAAGTTTAGAATGAAGAAGAAGAGAGGGTTCACTAGAAAGCAGCAGGATACATATAGGAAACCCTAAGGGGTTGTACTCGCTATAGAGTACCCCACTGCAGGCTAGAGAACAATGACATTTTGACACACCCCCATAGCCAAAGTGGGGTGTAATCAGCAGAGCAAGCAAAGCAGAACAAGCTCAGGGTGGATCACAATGTCACCACACATTCTGAGCACAAGTACAAGAAGCAATAGTTTAAAGTTCACAATTATGAGCAAAGCTAGAGGCTATCGCAGAGGGCAAGTGAGGAGGAGGAGGCGAGAGTGAGAGGAGAGGAGATAGGAGGCGACGGCTGAAGCTGCAGACACACGGGCAACAGGAGTCACACTGGCACAGCGGCTACCGGAACAACGCTCCGGACTACTGGAGTAACTGGCTCCGCGGCTAAAAGTAGCGGCAGACGAGCAACGGACCCACGGGCGACTGGCACAGCTGGCTGCGACTGGGCTACCGGAGCAACTCCCCGGACTACAGGTGCTGCTGGCGACACGACGGCAACCTCAGTTCAACCTCCCCAAACAGTCCCACTCCCCCTGACACACACCCCCTGCTTCACCCCTAGCTCCACTCCCCCTTCACCCCCCTTAGTACCACTCCGACGGCTCCAACAGGTCCACCCCCCTCAGCGGCAGCTGCAGCACTGGGAGACGGAGGAGGAGGAGGAGCAGGGGACGGCACACAGAAGCTGCACCCCCATACCCCCCACCCCCAAACCCTAATTCAGGAGAACGGGCAGCAGCAGGGGTGGGGCGCCATCAGAAGCACGGGGGACAGCGGGCAGCGCAGGGGCAGCGAAGAACGGGCCGCCCACGGGCCTGGCACAGCCGCCCGAACCGCGCGCAGGCGGCCCGAGCCGCGCGCGGGCCTGGCGCAGCCCGTACGGGCCGCGCGCGGGCCTGGCGCAGCCCGTACGGGCCGCGCGCAGGCTGTACGAGCCGCGCGCATGCCACGACGGGCGACGGGGGGCGACGCGCGGGTCCCGGGAGCGACGCGCGGAGTGACGGGGCAGAAACCCGCCGCGCGCCTCGGGGCGCACGGCGGGCAGACAACCGCCGCGCGCCTCGGGGCGCACGGCGGGCAGAAAACCGCCGCGCGCCTCGGGGCGCACGGCGGGCAGAAAACCGCCGCACGCTCCGAGCGCGCGGCGGGATGAAAAATCCGTCGCACGCCACGGGGCGTGCGACACAGAGAGTAGCAGTAGCAGCGGAAGCAGTGAGGTGGTGAGCCCACCCACAGGATCGACCCAAGGGGATCGACCTGCTC